CTTCTCCCTCTGACCCTCCTCCCTCTCATGCTCTCTGTCTCTCATTCTCTCTGTCTCAAATAAATAAATAAAATCTTTAAAAAAAAAAAACAAAAACAATGTCCTTATAATGACCCAGAAGGTCCTGCATGGTATCTAATTACAGTTCCTACAACTCAGCCTATTGATTAAAAGCCATAATGGTCTTTTTTCTCTTCCTTGAGTACACCTGGAATTGTCTTCCCAACAGGGTCTCTGAACTTCTCTGGAATACCCTCACCTCAGGTATCTACATACTCTACTCCTCATTTCATTCAAATCTTTACTCAAATGTTACCTGATCATTCTCTTTAAAACTGCAAAACCTTGCCTCCCCACCACCCCGCCAACATTCTCTATCCTCCTCTGAAATTTTTCTCAAACTTCTGTATTACCATCTAATATACCATGTAATCTACTTGTCCTCTCCTCCCCAGAATATAATTTGTTTGAGGGTCAGACTTTTTTTTTGTTTATAGCTATATTCTCATCACATAGAACAATGAACATGATAGGCCCTCAATAAATACATGCTGAATGAATTAATGAAATGAATGAATGATAACGAAGCATTCCTAAAAAATGAATGGTTAGTGGTATCAAATAAATTAGAGAGGAAAAGAGGGTTTGAAACTCTGGATATAGACTGCATTTAGATAGAAAGGATTTATGGATGATCTAAGAAAAACTAAGCATATTAGCAGAAGAGAACTATGTATTTTGTCACTCTCACTTTTTCTGTTTATTTCACCATCATTTCCTTTGCTATTTTCTTCTCTCTACTCTGAAAATGCCACCATCACTGGAGGACATTAGAATAAATGAGGCTTTCATGGTGCAGGCTGTTGGTTTATAAACTTGAGAGAATATTCTTTCTTTCTTGACCAAAGCTGAGAAGATAGGTCAGTTACCAGCAAAAAATGTTGTAGGAATTTATTCTTTACCTTTTTCCTTTTTTTGGTCTGAGTCTACCTTTTTAGCAGAATTTCTTTTCCCTTCTTAATCTCTATTAAGGAATGTGAATTTGCTCATTCATATTTAAGACAACCAAGTGCCAGCATAAAGCTCCACATTCAAGTGGAAATTAATTAGTTAATAATAAGTGCATTAAGGCCTTTGTTGAATTTAAAATATAGTTATTAGGATTTTGCAAACAGCTAAAATAAAATCCAAACTGATTTAAAAGAAAAATTATCTATATTCCTTCTCATGAGTCCAAAAACTTTTATATACAGCTGAAGAGACTTATGAAAATTCATGATTAAAACTGTTATTCTATTTTATGAGATTTTAGGAAAAAAATAATCATTGCATACTCACAAGAAAAATGTAAATTTGTTTTTTTAATTTAAATGTCTATCAAACAAGGTATACTAACTTTCTCTTGTAGAGTTGGCTGAAAGTGTTGAACCTTTCCAGATCCCTGTAAGGACTGCCAAATGTTGCAAAATTCATCATCATCTTTAGTAGGTACCTGGCAAAGCACAAAAAATTTCTTAAGGAACTGAAACATGAAAAAAATAAAGATTTATATTAAAAATAAAAAAATTCATTAAAGTTATTTAGCAGTAGATAGAATATTAACTTCCATTATCTGAAATCTCAGTTCTTTTTTTCTGGTGCTCAGTACAGTCATCATAGAAATATTCTATTGGACTGAAAATGGTCTTAAAGCATGACAAATGTTATGGAAGATTATACTAAATCAATATCCCTACCAACAGATTTTTTTAAATCTCCCAATGTACTGATATCTCATTTAAGCTAACATTTAACAATTTTATTTTTAAAATCTTCATCTTACACAAAAGTAATCCAACAGATTAAAAAACCAGCTATTACTTATGAGGAGTTGATTTTGGGCAGATTAATAGTGATTACCTATGAAATTTGATTTTTGCTTCTGCTTCCTTTGCCATTACCTCCTTATCTGGGCTTTCTAATTAGTCTATAGGGAACACGTTATTACTTGGATTAAAATGTGGTTAAGATTTGGGGACATGGAGTTAAACAAGGTTAAATGTCTCACACAAAACAATTCAATTTTTTTCCCCAGAAAGATAAAATAGAGGAAATCACCCATGAGTTGCATGGGTAGGAACCTGAAAATGGCTTTTGATAAATATAATTCTCTCTCTGTTAACCTCTCAAATTCATGTCATTTCATAGCAGATTGAATACAACATTAGAGTTATACAAATGTAGCTTGAAAAGTAAATATATGAAAAGAAAACAGACATTCTCAAGCTCATATTTAAAAATGTATTTCTTCTTTAACTATAATTTTATAACAAATGTAGGATGTTATCAGTAGCGTTGTTTTTTTTTAATTCTATTTATTTGAGAGAGAGCATGAGCGGGGCGGTGAGGGAGAAGGGGAGAAGCAGACTCCCCACTGAGCAGGGATCCTGACGTGGGGCTCCATCCCAGGACCCTGGGATCATGACCTGAGCCAAAGGCAGATGCTTAACCGACTGAGCCACCCAGATGCCCCAGTTGCATTCCTTATTAGCCTATTCACTTAAAACAAATCTGAAATTGACTTGAACCAAAATTTTTTAAAAAACTAAGTCAAATTAGGTTTTACTTACAAAGTCTGCCTGAGATTTATAAGAGGTCAGAAAGAAATGAAAGACTAAGAGCCTTACTTGAGTAGGAACAAAAAGTGATTGAGGGGAATGGTTCAAGCCTCCCAAATGCCCAGATGAAATTGATGAATTTGAGCTATAGTGATTCACAGCTGGTTGTGGTTTCACAATGGCTGTCAACTTCTGATTTCCGGTTTCAGAGCGACTCCCATGAGTAAGATTCACCAAGGCACTTGTTGGCAGTCGATAACCTCTACCAGGTGAGCACCTAAAAATAAAGTTATTTCAGAGGGAAATAATACTAGGGAGCAGAAGAACCAAATTATTTTTGGGTGGACAGTCAGTCCATAATCTGAATTAGTAAACATTACTTTTAAATTTAATAGAGGAAGCTGAAATCATAGAAAGATCTCCACTTATAAGATGATATATTTCTGAAACCGGACTTTATTTAATCCTCACAATAACCTAGTGAAGTATGTATCTTCATTACAAACGAGGAAACTGAGGGTCAGAATGCTTTTAACGACCTACCCAAAGTAGCACAAAGGTTAAGTGACAGAACCCATTCCATGCATCTTTCGTTCTATCATAATCTTTTTTTCCTGTAACTTTAACTTTTTTATCAGTGCTGCCCCAAAATAAGTAAATCTCACTCATATAAGTTAAAAACAAAAAATCCAAACCTCTGGCTTTAAACCTGTTAACCTCCAGTTATTTTTTCTCTCCTTCATGGTCAAACTTCTCAAGGGTCAGCTCAATTTCCTGCTTCCTCAAACCACCCCAGTGTGGCTGTACACCCACAATTCCACTAAAATATAAATCTGTGATCATGTCACATCTCTGATTTTGATGACTTCACATTGCTTTAAGGATAACGACCAAGATACCAAAATCATTAGCATGTCCTCAAAGTTGGCTTACAAGCTCCTGCACAGTGTGTTCCTTGCTTTTCTCTCTTACTCTAATCTTACATAGTTGCTGAAGTTCAGACACACTTGCATTCTTTGTTTTTTTTTTTTAATGAATAAATCCTTTGTTGTCTCTTCTTGACCACCTGTCATTCTTCTTCCCTCTTCCTCCAGTTAACTATTACTCAGTCTTCAAGTCCCATCTTAAATATCACTTGTCAAAGAAGCCTTTCTAGAAGTCATACTCTTACAGAAACCAGAACCTCTCCTTTCCAGCACTTCTCACATTTTAATTAAATAAGTAATACTATAATCAGTTACACAATTATCTCCCCCACTAAAATGAAAGCTTTGTGAGACTAGAAAACATGCCTATCTTACTCATTGTTACATCCCTACTAGCATGTATGATGTCTTGCATATAACAGGAATTCAAATTTTGGACAAATAAGTAATGTAAAGTCACTGCCACGTGGATATATTTACAAAGCGTAATTATCACCAGGAAATACAAACCTTATTGTTAAGCCTCCAGGAAATTCTTCATCAAATAATACTTCAAATAGTATATCAGCTTCTCTATTGGCTGTTAAATAAGAGAGATTTAAAAATTATATGATGAAAAATTAGCATTTAAGTTTTTGGCTTGTAAGAGGCATTACAACTATCAGAGAATGGTATAGGGGATTATAGTAAATGAAAAGTAGATAAACTTGCAGATTACCTTACTGGTATTAATTTAAAGTAAAATAATATTTTAAATTAGATGCTATGAGGGGATTAATTATATTTTTCTCTGTGCTTTTGTCTATGTTGGAAATTATTAATAAAAGTTAATAAAAGAGGTAACTTTGGAGTTTGCAGTTCAGAAGGTATTGCAGTAAGACAGATAAAAGACAATGACGATTTGAAAGCATGGCAGTTTATTTAATAAAGGGAACAGGATGGAGAGAACAGAAATATTATTAGATAGAACTGGCAGGAATTTGTGGCCTGTGTAGATAAAAAGGACAGAGATGCCAAAGATGACTCCAAGGTTCTGGCTGAGATGACTTGGTAGATTATGGATGCCATAACTGAGATATGAGATACATGAGAAAGTGCAATAAACTTAGATAGGAACAGAGAAGAACAAATTTGGCAGAGAGGCTGATGAGATATATCTGGCAAGATTAAATTTACCCGAAATGCCAAGGTAAAGTGAAATAATTAGCTATATTTGAATTCTAAGCCCAAATTAATAATAGAGTCTATCACAGTACTTCAGAATTGACCAACCCTACCCCCTTCCCTCTCCCCTCCTCTCCCTCCCTTTCTCCTTCACCCCTCCCCCTCCCCCCATCCTCGATTTCTCTCCACCTTTCCACCACCCCTTTTCCACTTTATTGGTTTCTGTTTCTCTAGAGAACCCGAATACAGTATTTGATAATATCCTAGCCGGGGGTAGGAGTGGAGGGATGTCTGTCCCCCATCCCCAGTCCTTCATTGCTCAGCTGAAACCAGGCCTGCAGAGCTCACCCATTCCCCAACATCCACCTGTATCTTTCAACCTACTTTTACCTGAAATCTAAACTCAAGAAAGTAAGGCTCAATGAGAGGCAGGAGTTTCTCCTCTGAAGGCTTAAAGCTCACCTTTTAGGTTCTTATTCCCTATCTGAGGGAGGGGTATTCCTCAAAAGATTATTAAGGTTATAAAAGGTAAGAGGACTGTTTACTCCCTTTAGCGAAACTGACTATGGAGATGAGGTCTCAGCTAAGGGCAGTAATGAAATATTCCCCTTTTTATCCATGGCAGACATGGTTAATCAACGACAGAGCTCTTTCCCACTCAGCACAGATACAGCTTTAAAATCCTTCTCAAGACAAATCCCAAGCAGTCACTATTACTGATAGGAACTGTCAGAAGAAAGGAAACTTCTATGTTATCAGAGTCCTAGGGCCTTATATCAAGACAACTTAACTATAATACCATCTAATAAGCCCAGTATTTGAACGGCTGAATCAGGGGGTTGAGCAGATAGCAGCAGGAGGGTTGTTTCATTATACGCATGTGGCCCTTACATTCCTAGTCCAGACAATCAGACCAAGGTTGAGTGCTTGAGAGATGAAAGGACAGTGCTGCCAATACCTTGACCCCTTGGCACCGGATTTGCTGCTTCATGCTAGGCTGACTTTTTTTGGTATCTACACTGCAAAGCTGCTCAACCAGGCATCCCTTTGCGCACATTTAGATCCTTAGTTGCTTCCTCCCTTTTCCTCCATTCTCTCTCTTTTTTTTTAAATAAAAAATACGTGACATAAAATTTACCATCTTAATTATTTTTAAGTGTACAATAGTGTTAACTATATGTACATTGTTGCCTTCTGCTTAGATATAAGGCACAGAAATTTGTGTTTCACTTTACAATTTTAGATGCAGTTGAAGACACGCCAAGTATTGAGATATTACCCCCTTTAATTCCTATGATGGTGCCCCGAAGGCCAACTGGAACTGAAAAGTTCTCTCTCACATTTACCACACGGTCAAAGAGATGAAATTCTGCATCTCGATCAGGAATGACTCCATGTTGCTGTTCTAAAGGCTGAAGAGAAGAAAGCTTTAATTATTATTAACTCTAATTTGAAATAATTTTTCTATTACTATAACAAAAACATTTTGTTCCTTCTATACTTTCAAAATAAAAACAACTTGGATAAGAAACTTACTCTGTACAGCAAATGGGGCTTCACTGTCACTCGTACCTTCTTATTATTCTTTCTTTGCTGAAGAAAGAAAAATTTTTAAATATTTAAAAACATTAAATTATAAA